GTTCAGTTCAGCTGGGTATTACAAGTTGACCACCAGCTGTCAATCCACCACAGGAGGGAGGAGGGCTTGAAAGGAAGAGAAGGGAATGGAGAGAAGAGGACTCAAGCTGTATCATGTACAGACATAAGTTTCTTATGATGAATTTGATCATTATGTATACCTAAATTGTACCAAGAAACTTAAAAAAAAACTATTATAGGTACTTTGCATCAAGCTTCTAGCTGGATTTGGGTTTGTGTGTTTGAAAAATATCAAAGCTATAGTCTGTCAGGTAGAGAATATATCCTTTTAGCAAATTTGGAAATTACAGTGGAGAGTCTGCCATTAGAAACAAATTAAAGCTCCTATTGTTTCTGGGTTTGCTTCCATTATTCAAGCTCTTCTGATTTCTCTCAACATGTTGAACATCCTCTGCTTTCTGCTGCCTCACAGCTTTTGCCTGTACTGTATTCCCTTCAAGAATGTTTCCCTTCTTCTCTTCACATTGTCAAAATAGCAGTCATTCTTCAAATCTCAGTAAGAATATTGAGTGTTATGTAGTTAATTCTTTCCTACTGCCCTCAGTTAGAGGCCTCTATATTATACATTTTCTCAGCACTACCAAAAACTGTTCCAAGACTTTTCACAGAATAGCCCCTCAATTACTGGTAAATGCTGGCACAACAGTTTCCTTCTTAGCTAATTGTTGTATGTCAAGTCCAACTAGAAATGAACTATTTGGTTCATCGTGCTGATCACCTGAATGTGTGATACTGTCTGGAAAATGATAGGCATACACAACAGACTCTTTAACAGATTGACAAATACAATTTGTTAATTTAAGATTTCTTGGGTGCTTTCATATCCTTAAAATCATTTCTTCCTAATTTACTTAGATCCCTTACTGAGTTTTGTCAGGATAGCAGATGAGGTAAAAAAGGGAGAAATTTGCAGAAAATGATTAGCCAAAGAACTGCAGAGAAAAAGAAAGCAAAACAGAAGGCTAAAGCTAAACATGCTAAAAATTAAAATGACTACTTTAGGCTTCTGAAATTCAGGAAGTACAGTAAGTCTTCTCTAAAACAATAAAACAAGAACCAGAGACTCCTCTAATTTTTCTTTCAGAACAACCATTGAAATATAGTTTAAAATTACTACTTAGAGGCTAATCAAGTAAACTGGTTAATTCATTATTCTTGTTGCTTTTGGTGTGCGTATTAACCATTAACACTTCCTCTAGAGGTCTCATGTGAAGAAGCGGAGGTAAAGTTTAAGCCAGATGCCTCCCTTCTTGTTGACAGATTTTGTAAATATGACTGATGGGAGCAGAAGGTGAAACTATCTGGTAAAATGAGTTTTTTTGCATTGTCTTACATTTCATATATCAATGCCAGTGTTTCTTAAACTGCAGGTCAAGACTCCAGAGGCAAGGGTGACAATGTAATTTAAGCAGTCTCATATATAGGAACTATTAGGAGTAGACACTGTGAATTACATGAAAATAGAGTACTTCTTTTCTTCTTCAGCTCTCCATAATTTTTAACCTCTTAATTTTTATTCAGCCAGTAGATAGATAAAACTTTATTGTATTAGTAATATACACAGTTGAAAGCTCTAATATTACCTTGCACAGTGACTTATAAATAGTACATCTAGGAAATGATTTGGTTTCTACTTACTTAGAGAAAGAAAATGACCACATGAAAGAGGAGATGATAAAAGTGTGGTATCAATAGGCACTGCCTGTGTATTATCTAGTGGTTATCAAAGAAGTCCTTTTATTTGTGGATCATTAGATTTTTATTGCTAAAATTATACTGTCTGATCACATTCACAGTGAGTCAAGCAACTTTGGTTGAATATTGAGTCAATGCAAACATTTTTTGTTTAGTACATGAATATGTGGAATAATGAAAAAATTGGAGTAATTTTTCTTGTATAAACATTACTAAAAATACAGATTACAATGATAAAATTTCATGTTAAGTTGTTTGTTGCAGGGGCTCTGTTATTGATAATCCAATTTAGTCTCATAAGTACGTAAACTAATATCTGTAGTCATATATCCTACTTTCTTATTAGCTTTTAGTAAAATGAAAAAAGCATATTATTAAAATTCCAATCATATTTTTCTGGAAAACATATTCTTTATAAACATATTCTCAATATTTAAATTCAATTTTTCTGTACAAATGATAGATACTCAACTGAGCATCAAGAAATTAATTGGCTGATGTTACTGAACTGCTAAAGTGGCTTCTGGTTTGAAGCTGTGATGCGTACCACTATATTCTCTGCACTTACCTTCTGGTATTGCTTCACTTCTCACACAGCTTTTCTTCATGAAAATCAGTACTGTGGATGGTGATAGCACTTTTCTCACCTCCTTACAGTTTTTCAAGAAAGAAGAGGAGAAGCACTGGCTTTCCAAATTGTGAGAGAAGAGTCTCATTTGCATGGTCTGTGAGGTTGGCATCTACGTTCTAACATTAGAGGAGTTCGCTGGATTATGATGTAACTTGCTTGCATCTCTTGCCCATCCCAGGTAAGCAAAAGAAGAGAATGTCAGGTAGAATGGAGACATTATTGTGAACTCAGACAGCTGCCCCACTGCACATCTAAAAAAATTAAAGTACATTTAAATTAGATAATACACAGGAAAAATGTACATGCACACATTGGCATGTCTAAAACTCTAAAATACTACTGTTCATATTAAAATCCTAGGATAAAAGTAGTTTTGAGGCCATTAGGTTGTGCATTTGATGGTTATTTACTGATTGCAGATATTAGGGTCTTTTTTAAAAAAAGGCTTCTCTTAGCAATGAGTTTATCATTTCTTTCTTTTAAAAAAACTTTAAAATAATTTATTAGTACATGTTGCTGTATATGCAGTTTACAATCAATTTGGGGAGTGGGTATATGTCCATACTATATCTTGTTTCTTTTTAAAATCCCCTTCCTCTCCCTTCCCCTGCCTCCCTCCTCCTCTAATTCTCCTATCCCAATTTTCATTCTTGTATCAATATTATTACTCTTAGCTCACATTATGGTATCTAGTATTTACATTCTTTGAGGTTATTAGCTTCCTGTACATGGCACACATTTATTCTACTTACTTCTCCTTCTCCCACTCTTCACTCCTCACCCTTTTTCCCTTGGATCACTTCCCTATTGCAAGAGATCCACGTTTTCCACCCCTTCTATCATTTATTTGTTTCTGTTTGTTCTTTGCCTGACTCAAATGAGAGATAGCATATGATATTTAAGCTTGCGTGTTTGGTATAGTTCACTAAACATTATATTTTCCAGGTGCATCCATTTTCCTACACATGTCTCACACTTGTTAATTTTAATAGCCAAGAAATATTCTATTCTATATAAATACCACATTCTCTTCATCCTGCTGTCTGTTGATGGATATACAGGTTGCTTCCAGGATTTAGCTATTATGAATTGTGCTGCTATAAACATTGGTGTGCATGTATTAGTGTAGTATGATGTCTTAAGATTTTGGGGGCAGATACCTAGAAGGGGGACAGCTGGGTCATATGGATTTTCTAATTTCAGTTCTTTGAGGAATCTTCATTCTGATTTCCATAATGGTTGAACCACTTTACATTCCCACCAAAAATGTAGGTGGGTTCCTCTTTTACCACAGCCTCATCAGCATTTGTTATTTTTTGGTTTCTTAATGGTTGCCACTCTTTCCAGAATAAGATAGAATTTTATTCATTGTTTTCATTTGCATTTCTTCAATGGCCTGGGATGTTGAACACTTATTTCATATGCTTGTTGACAATAGCCACAGAACATCCTAACACCTAAAAAACCTGAGGGATTATATTGGCATCAGGAAAGTAGATTTCAGGACAAAGCATATTGGCAGTTTATTTCACTTTGATAAAGGGGTTAATATTTTGAGATTATACACCTAATGACAGAACTAGAAAATACATGAAGCAAAAACTTCTACTTGTGAGAAGAAATAGACTGACACTTGTAGTCAGAGATCTGTGTTCATAATTGACTCAGTAGTGGAAGGAATAAGAGGAAGATCAGTAAGGATAGTGAAGATTTGAGTAATACTATCAGTCAACTTGACCTACTTGATATTTATCGAATATACCATAGAGAAGCCACAAACTGCATTAAAACAACTATAAGCCAAGTAAACTCTTATTTCCTTTATTACTGAATCAATGGCTAAACCATATTTCTACTATTCCTACAAGTCATATGATAGTCCAAGACTCTTTTCTTTAAAAAAGATTTTAAAAGCTTCTGATGAAACCTATACTTGTGTCTACCCAAATTGTCCCTCACCAGCTTATATAGGAGCCAGGTCTTTTAAAATGCAAAATGTTTTCTCTGCTCATATACTTTTAGGAAATTACTGGGCCAAACATTTTTTTGACAGGGCTTCCTGTGATTTTATTTGTCAGTATACTTGTAGATTAAGAGACATCTCTCAAACTTAGTTGCACATAAAACCCTCCCTGCAACCCCAACTACCATTAGAATATCTTCCACCACAAATATTCTCAAAGAAATATATTTTGGAAGTGACAGAGAGAGGTGCTGTTTCTTGTTTCTTCTTGTACTGCTGGGGATGAAACCCAGGGCTGCATGCATGCTACACAAGTCTTCAACCCCTCAGTCCACTTTCCTGCCCATTGATTCTAAGACATAGCTGATCTTGTCATTTTTCTTCTCCTGTTAGTCTCAACATAGTCCTAAAAGTTAATGCTTTTTTGTTCAAATGATCTAATATTCATATCAAGTAAATAAAATTTCTATCTACTTTAAATGATTTCTAAGTGTGAAAAATATATCTTAAATGGATATTTAAGAATTTTCATTAATTTAAGAAATTGAGGCTTTCACTTTTAAACATTTGTATTGCTCACAGTACATAATATAGCTTTGATGTCATATATCTGAATTTGGGTATAGCCTGAGGCTTATGGAATTTTATGAATTTTACTACATGAATGATATGATAAAATATAGGCTAGGGTTCTTCAGACAGCTAAAATCACATTATTAGATAAAATGGATAGTAGGTAGATTTTATACTATTGCTTGTCATAATAACATAAAAGAACTAATCACTCCTTTATGAAAGTACATAAGCAGCAGGATCTTGAGTATACACGAACAAAAAATTACATTATTGTATCTTCTTTTAACTACTTATCTGATATGGATTGTCTATAAAAGAAAATTGCATATTGGTAGTTGAAAGTCTATAAAAATATGACACAATACATCTTTTAGCAGACAATAAAAGTTGTGTGTGGGCAGCATTACACATAATTCACCATTTTAGTTTGGAATAATCATAGTATTTGCTCTAAAACTTTATTTTAATCAGAAGGATAGACTTTGTGAACTAAATTGATATAACATTGCCTCAATTTGAAAAACTGAATACATTATAGATTTGAGAGAAAAATATTTATTTTCCTCTAAACAATAATATATCTATATTTATAGAAAGTGAAAATACAGTAAAATTATTTGAAAGATTCAGCTTATATTTTAAGACAATATTATGCAGGTTATAGGGGAGTTCCTTTCACAAATATGGTGTCTTCACATGGAAATTTGTGTGAAAATGGTCAGTATCACAGACAACAAATATCCTCATGTGAGAGTGGGCAATTCATCCTACTCCCTGCTCTGTGGGAGAGGTTTATATCTTCTTGTTTACTTTCATGTTTTTCATTATTCCATATGGCTGAATCAGTGTGGTAGTAGTGTGATTTTTACCAAAGCCTAGAGTTAATATGGAACCTTTATAACAACACGTGATTTAACGTCCAGAAAAAAACATTTGTCAATGTCTGCCACTTTAGTGTGACCCATAATTTTCCAAAGATATTTCTTTCTTACTGGAAAATGTGCCATTTTTATATAAAATGTGCTCTAAAAAAAACCATTTTATTAAAAAGTGTTTCTTATGGTTTGGATCTAAAATGTTCCCCCAAAGTTTGGTGTGTTCAGAAGTTGGAGATTTGGAAGGCAACGTGCTATGTGGCATGGTATTCAGGAGCGGATTAATGCATTGATGAGTTCACAGCTCAGTATGCTGTCAGAAGGTGAGGCTTCCTAGGAAGAACCTGGCCACTGACTGTGTGACTTGGAAAGGTACATTCCCATCTTCAGTTCCTTTTCTCTCTTTCAGCTTCCTGGTTGCCACTGATTGAGCAGCTTTCTCCAGCCAGCACCCTTCCCATGCCATTTCTGCTTTACAGCCAGCCAACCATGCAAGTGCTGAGCCCTCAGAACCTTGAGCCCAAAACCCCTCTCTTCCTTTACATTGCAAGTATTAGAGTATTTTGTTCCAGCAGTGGGAAAGTGACTAATACAGTGACACATCACATGCATTCCACTTAAGTGTGTGGCTCAAAGAATTTTTTACAAAGAAAATATTCTTATGTAATCACCTTCTCAATTACAGTTTCCGAGAACGTTACCCAGCATCTAAGAACAATTCTTACATCCATACATTCACCCACATGGTTTAATCTGGCCAGTTCGATATTTATGTAAATGGGGTCACAAAGAGTCCACACTTCTCTAGAGGCTCCTTTACTACCACCGTGTCTCATGGATTTATCATGTTGTTTCATGTGGCAATGACTTGTGTTCTGCTGTAAGAATACTTGACAGGCTGAGGACTTAGCTCAGCAGCACAGAGCTTGCCTGGCAAGCGCAAGGTCATGAGTTCGATTCCCAGTACCGGAAAAAAAACAAAAAACAAAAAAAAATTTAAAAAAGAATGCTTAACAATATATTTGTCTAATTACTACAAGGAAGGTAATTTGGGGTTGTTTATCACTTTTTGGTTATTGTAAATAATGCTATATTTATTTTTTTGTATGTGTCATATGTAAACCTTTCATTACATGTGAAAATATATGCAAAATTTCATTGCATACACACATGCACAAACACATTAAACATATTTTGGGGAGATACCTAATGTTGGAATTGCTAGCAAGTCTTAAGGTTATACATTCAACTATGTTCAGCTCTAACAGCTACTGCATAACAATTTTCCACAGTGTTTTTAAATGTGAAAGTGTGGCTTGAGAAAATTTCTGTCCTGATGTTGCAGGCCAGCAATTTGGGTGGCTGAATAATTTACTCAATCTGCTGGATCTGTGTTGGTTTTTTATTGTAGTTTATAGTTGCACCTTCCTTATGATTTGCGATTTTGACTACACTGCTTTGTTGTATCTTTGGCCATGGATGCCTCGTTAGTAAAATGTCTGTCCAAGTCCTTTGCACACTTCAAAATGTTTTCTCATTAACTTAAAGGGATTTTTGTACGTTATTGGTATGGTCACTTTGTCAGAGAAATATATTACAAATATTTTCTTCCAGGTTAACTGTCTTTGAATGAACAGAAATTCTTCATTGTAATGAAGTCAAATTAAACATCTTTTCCTTTAAAGATAGTGTTTTCTCTACCTTATTTAAGAAAGCATCACCTTTCACTTGATTATAAATTTGTATTCCCCTATCTTTTGACATAGTGCAAAAGAAAAACGATTAACAAATTAGAGAATGAATTGAAGGATTCAGGCATTAATTAGGTTACCTGCATTGGTGATTTTCAAACTTAGCATATGTTAGTTACTTTTGGAGGATTGTAAAAACTCTAATGCCCCTGATGTACAGAACAATAATTTGCTCAGAATCTGTGGTTTGGGGACCTAGGCATTATTATATTTTCATTTATGTGAAGAGCCCTTAGGTAGAAAAAATCAGCAAAACACGGATCACATGGGAGCAAATCTGGAGAAAAGCAACTGAAGCTGGAATGTAGGATCCAGATAGAAGTAAGGCTTGAGTCACACTGGAAGTAAAACTGTTGCTTACAAAAATTTGAGTCTACAGTAAAGATAGATTAATTTCAACAGAGAGGGACTGTGAAAGAGTGTTTAGGAAATTAATCTGATTTATGAATATATTGGGAAGGTTAAAGTGACAGATAAGAGTGTGTTGGAAATTGGGGAGATAGAGTATATTTTTAAATTCCTTACCTTTGATTTCTCCAACTCGGCTAATCACCAGAAACTGTATGTCAAATTTTGTGTTATTAGATATTTCTGGCAAGAGGATTTCAAGCTGTCAGCAGATTTTCAAAGGAGTCTGAAAGTCTCTAATGGCAAAACACTATTCAATGAAAGAAAGGAAATCAACTAAAAAGCTATTACACTTTGCTGCTTAAAAAATATTGACTATGTAAACCATATTTGTGGTTATAGATGTGGAAAGGAGATGATTGATTTTAGGAATATTTTTGTGGGTGAATAGATGTTGTAGAAATTTATAGACTATGTGGGGGAGTGGGATGGTGTACAAAAACATTACTTGAATTAAAAGATAAATATGTAAGGAGAATGTAAGAGTATTTAAGAAGGAAGAGGTCACCAAAAATGAGAAGGGAAAGAAATATTAATTTAAGCTTTGTACTCCAAGCTTGACAAATTATTAGATAAGTTTGAATTTTTGTGTTCAAGTGATCAGAACAACAAGCCAATAATCAGTCTAAGCTCTTGGTATTTTTGTCACAAGCTTTCAATGAGTATAACAAGTGCAAAACTAATTTTCATCCAATTCGATGTTTTTTTACTCAAATTATTTTTATTTTCTACTTCGTGATTTATACGTTAAATGAATTTTAATGTATGTATTTAAAATAAAATAAGATTGTTTCAGTGCAGAGAAAAAATTATATATAATTTTACATGATAAAAATATGAATTTAAAATTTAGATTTGAGCACAGCTGTTGAAACAATTTAGGAATACATTTTGATTGTGAAGGAATACATTTTTAAAACTCTGATTTTCTCAAATAGAGATAGGAAAGAATTATTGGACAAAGAGCTGACAGATGGACTCAATCTTATCATTGTTTCACAGAGAAAGCTCTAGGAAAATGAAATAATAAATGGTCAGTGGGAAAACTTGGCAAGTCTTACCTTCAAATGTAGTACATGTGTATAGGCCTGTGTCTTGGTTACTTTTCTCTTGTTGCTGAGACAAAATACCTCACACCCAAAATTAAGGAAGGAAAAGTTTATTT